GTCTCTGTTGACACCCACCCCTTGGCGCTCATATGACCTTATGCAGTTGCGAGTGCCGTAAAACCCTCTACTTAAAAAAAACAACCCAAAAAACTGTTATTAAAACTGGAGATGCGACCAGAATGCACTGGAGTCGCGCAGTGTTCTTTACCTCAATCTTGTCTTGCTTGTATATATCCAGCCTTGCAGAGCGCCCCTGAGGAGATCAACGTGCGAGCCGCTGACATGTGGAGCTTTGCCATTCTGCTGTGGGAGCTGGAGACGAGAGAGGTGCCCTTTGCCGAGCTTGAGCCCATGGAGATTGGCATGAAGGTGAAAATGCGGGTGGTTGATGGGTGCTCCGCGGTGTGTGGTTTGCTCCTTCTTTCCTATCAAACGTCTATCGTGTCCTTGTCTCTCCTCCTTTTTTGTGTTTGTTACTTTCTTGTAACACTTCTAATCTTGGGTAGGTTGTTGATGGGTGGTCTGGTGTGGTTTGCTTCTCTTTCCTATCAAACATCTTTCATCTTTATCTCTCCCCTCCTTCTTTTTTGTTTTTGTTACTCTCTTGTAACACCTCTAATCTTCGGAACTTATATGACTTTATTGTGTTGCTAGTGCGGTAAGGTAAAACTCTTACTATAACTAGAAAACTCTAATCTTTGGCACTTATATGACTTAATTGTGTCTCAAGTGCCGTAAAACTCTTACTATAACTGAAACAGGTAAAAAGTTGTTTCTGACTCATCGTTGTGTCATTTATTACCACAAAGGGTGTTACAACCCGTGCTTTCTGGCCATGAGCTGCATTTGATGGTGAAACAAATTCTCAATCTCTTCATTTTCAGAATCTGGAGACTCACTCAAACCATTGTTTTATGTTCAGATTACTTTTTTTCTCTTTCTACCCTCTAATGAGAAATTCATTTCCCTACATCATTTTAATGTACAACACATTTTTCAGCATCTGTGATCATTTTTTGAAGAAATTTTTTTTTCTTCGGATTACTCTCTGGTGAGAAAAAATGGCAGCAAGAATAGCTTGGTCACAGTTACTTGAGTTACTGAGTGAGGAAATGATCTGGTTGGGAAAGAGTAAGAGAGCATTATGTCAGGGACAGGAAAGGTAACTGTTGGTCGCTGGATCTCACCTTGACAGAAGACGTAACACAAATGTTTGAAGTGGTGGGAAGGGCTCATGCTGAACAATCAAGGACTAACTAAACGTTGTACGCTTTTGTTGCTATTTGTATTTCAGGTAGCCTTAGAGGACCTGAGGATCTCCATCCCTCCCGGAATCTCGAGTCACATGTCCCGTCTGATCAAGATCTGTATGAACGCTGAGCCGGGGAAACGACCAGGCTTTGACATGGTCATCCCGATCCTGGAAAAGATGAAGATGTCCAGTTAGGCAGCCAGTCCCTTCCTGTTACTGATGTCACAACATTATATCTTAAATCTTTCTGTGCCTCTAGTGCCAGTACGTGGGCTGGGTCTTCCTTATCAGTTCTAAATGTGTACTACTGATAAATCATGGTGCAGAAGGGGTTAATTAATTCTTCTATCAAACCACAGTTAGATGATCGTTTTGTCTTGTGGGTTTGGACCTCTCTTGGCCTCCACTCTGAGTGGCCTTTGTTTTCTAGGCAGCCAATGATAACTCACTGAGCCCTGGCCAGTCCGGAATCGCAACAGTCACCCAGTTCTGGCTGTCTTCACACTTTAAAAAAAAAAAATTCTCAGGAATGTAAATATTAAGCTACTGGCTTCAGTTTGGTTTGAGATAATGATACATTTCTCCTCTTTATAATACATTTAATTTTTCCAAGTTATCCGTAACACTTTTTTCCCCACAAAATTTTTAAGCACCCCTGTTTTTTTCAAATTCAGAAAGCTTTTCTGCTTACTGAATGTGACAGAAAATAACACCCAAAATAAATTATTTTAAGACAAGAATATGAGCTCTTGATCTAGCTATATATAGTACATCTTCATTTCAAGTTGGGGAAAATTGTTAAACTAAAAAGCTTTGTACAAGAATTATATGGCATTATTAGAACGTCATTCGATGAAAAAAAATGGGGGAAACCCGATCCCATCTTTAGTTTGGGATCAGGGCTCAGCCCCGAGATATCCCAGCTATGTTCAGGACCAGGGCTCAGTGAGTTGACTCCACCTGAGGTCGTAGTGTGCATGCGCTTACGGTACACACTAGTCTCTATCTGTGTACTGGTTTCTTTCTGCTTGGGCCTCTGTTGGTGGAACAATGGGGGGGGGGGATGGTGGTGATGATGAACCCTCTGAGTGAGGGGGATGCATCAATATGTGTTCTAGTTGCATGTAGGCCTACATACAAAATGTTGGCTTTGGAATGTAGGAAAATTGAAGAATAAAGAAGGCACAGTTTTTGGACAACTAAGAGTACGCGGTTACATTTTTAGGAAAATGCTTTGCTAAATACGGGTCAAACGCATGAGGGAAAATTATGGAAATGATACCTGAAACTATTAAAAGTATGATAATTGTGTTCTAAGTAAGTAGTCAACCTTCTACTTATTTCCAAAACACAATTAGGAAAAATTTGACTTTGTATAAATAAGTAGTCACTTGTTCCCCTTAACTACATCACAAATGTTTGGGAAGGGACCGAGGTGATTTTTAGGCTTGCGTTGATTCAAGTATAAAACACTTCTATTTTTTTTCATTACTGTGTCAAATTTTTAGGCTTATAAAAAGTGTTTGAAGGTGCAGGGGATTCTTTGATGGCTGTACTTTAAGTCGCCGGTAGATATGTAGTGTAAGACAATCAATCTGGTTGGACATTCGTAACTTTACTTTTTTGTCCCAAAATGAAAAGATTTTCCTCCATTAATGAATAGAAAGAGTGTTAAACTGGACAACGGCACAAGTGCAATAAAATAGAAAATAATGATCCGATTGGCCTGGCTTTGTGTGTTGAGACCTCTGATTGGCCTGGCTATGTGTTTTGAGACCTCTGAAAAAAAAAATGCTAAAGATACATTAGAGTAATTACGCATATCGTGAAGGCAGCTGGTGATGAGGTTTTAAAAAACAGCTGGGTCTGACAGGCTGAGATATAATTATAACTTTTGGTATGGTTGAATTTTGATATAGATGTGTGGCTGCAACGAAAGACAGACATTTTATGCTGTCAAGCTCGTGGAAAAAAATTACCCAGGCTGTTCCGAGAGTATGGTGTAAAAAGGAAGGAGCTTGCTTGACGCTGGGCTTTTTCCAAAGATGTTTTGGATATAGTTATTCAAAAACTCCTAGAAAATTTAATGAAAGTCCTAACACATCAATGAAAATGAACCATCCACACTAGCATGAAACATGTGATAGATTGGATACCACTCTTATTTCATCTCATTTCGTGTTAAATGTTTTTGGTTATTTCAGATATTAAGCAAATCTCACACTGCGCAAAAATTGTTCCCCGCATAATGAAATGATAACATGTCCCAAAATTATTCATCATTTCTACGTCACTCTTTCATATTATGAGTTTGAATTTGTAATGGAATCAAAATATATATAGATTCTACAAGTTTACAGAAGTAGGTAACTGAATGTTTGTAGCTTGATCCATTTCAGAAATTTGGCTGTAGTAGTACTTCTTTTGTTCGGTCCTGTGGGAGACGGACGTTAAATGAGGAGGTCCCGCCTCTTCAATAACCTAATAGTGTTGATAGGGGCATTAAACCCATACGCTTACTTTATTAATTTTTGTTTCACGTACATCACTGGCACTGTTTTGACTGCTGTAGAAGGGACCACTTCCTAGGCTACCACTTCATAGAGATATCTTCCTGATCTCTGCCACTCGGACAAGGAAGCATAGCTACATGAAAAAGTAGCCAGCCTTCAGCGTGGTTAATCGTTGGCAAGCCATTCAAATGTTCTAAACCCAATAAGTAACATTTTAAAAAATTTTCAGGAGAAAAAAAAAAGGTGTTGATCTTTTAGCAATTGTACGTACTTTATGCAGATCTACCTATTCTTGCCTTTGTGAACAGTTACAATTGGGATTTTGACCAAATATTTTTAGCTCATGCAACCAATACCACAGATTAACGCGATACCCCTAAGGGACGCAGAGAGCATTTACGGTACCTGTTTCCTGGTATGTGGGGATAAGAGTTGCACACTCTGTGCACTGCATAGGTGAAAAGTGTTAAGAAACTGCAGTAAAATATTTAAAAAAACAAATTTTGGGACTAGTACATCTGAAAAGCTGGCTAATGATATGCAGCACAAAATTGAATATACGACTATTGGGTAGGGACCTAGGCAGGGGAGATTCTCCCACAACAGTCGGTTGCATTTACTCTTGATAAGTCATTGGGATGTTTTTGAAGGTACCGTATTGTAAGAAATGCACTGTCGGCCATTTCAATGTTTACTGAGCCACTTATAGTTCGACTTGGAATTCTGCTGTTAGCTGCCATGAGTTTAACAAGTCTCCACACAATTATTATGTTTTGGCTTTTTCGAAACATTTTTTTTAGTCAATTGCTGATGGAACTTGAAAGCCCGGAATTGTAGGTTTTGGCTAACAGATTTGAGTAGTTTTACCTTCTCTTCTTCACGCCTCTTTTGCCTGCTGTTTTGATTGTTCCTATCGCAACAGTATTGAAGGATTTTTTAGCATTTATGCCACAGATTTGTTGCTGTCATTTTAGGTTTGATCTCTGAAATAGTCTTCTTGAGACTGGAACTATGGAACTATGCATTGTTGAAGACGAGACTTTTCTCCCCTGCCTTTTTGTTAATTTTTTTCCGTGTGATTTAAACTTTCCTTTCACAAGTCTTGATGCTATCTCATGAATTACATATAATACAGTTGTAAGTATAATAAATCTTCACTGTTTGTGCATGTTATTGTATGGTGTAAAGTGCTTTTATAAGTTACCTTCTTTTCGACGGAGAGGTTTTGTGCCTGTCTATGGTTTGTTTGTGAGAGATTTAAGTGTGTTTGCGATTAGTTCTTTATACATTGTATTTTCATTCTCTCCTTTAGCCTGTGCTGTCTACACTTGTTTGATAGTGCCTTTAGAATGTATAAAAAATGCTTAAATTTTTTTTTTTTACTTTATAGAAAGCATACAGTGGTCAATAGAGATCATGGGAAACTAACCAGCCTTGTTCTGTTGGTGGAAATGAATCTCTAGTCTAAGGCAGTTGAAGTTTTGAGTAAAAGAAAGCTCATTGCTATTTCTATGCTAAAGGGAAAATAGTTTCTTAGTCGGATGTCTTTTTTTCACTCAAGAGTGTATGTTTTGATGACAGTAGTTTTGTTTTCTGCGGTTGAGTGGATACCAGTGTAATTGTCTTATTTTGATGAAAACAAAATTTCAATTGGTGCTGATTGTAAATAGTATATCATAATTATATTCCTTTGAAGTATTATTGTTTTACATTTTTTGTTGGATATTTATGGAACAATAGTTAGCTGTTTTTATTTTTTCTTTAGAGCTACCTTGTGTTTTTAGCTGATGAGTATGAAGATGACATAGCATTTATAGTTGTTTTTTTGTAAACTAGTCCCATTATTGTCTGCTCTGCTTATTGTGACGGAACTTTTCATCGGGTCATGCATTTATGAGTTACCCATTTATTAAGTAGAAGCAAAAAAGGCTACACTGACATGTGACACATACTTACAACTCATGTAAGGGAAAAGTTTGCACAATGGCTCTTTACATTGTTGACAGTCGGCTTGTTTTATAAATATGTGGAATGACACGCTGGAATCAGGCACTTGTTAATTTTTAAAAAAAATTTTTTAATTCTATAAGAATCGCCAGTAGGAATTTTTTTAAATGTCGGAGGGGGGGGGGGTTCAATTTCATTATTTTGAGGAGCGTCTGATTTCCCAACGATGCCACACTTATTTGAAGATTTCTTTTTAAAAAGTTGTTCTACCAATGGATTTGGTGCCTAGAGTTGCAAGGTGCAGATATAATACTGCAGCACTTTTTGAAAAAATAATGGCTGTGATCACACCTCATTATTGTCACTGTGTCCCTGTGGAAGTATGGTACCTACATGGGACATGCATATATATAAATATGTTTACAGACCTGCCAGTCCCCAGAAAAATTGTGTATCGGAAGACATTGATCAAGTTTTTTTTCTAGCTACAATAAGACCTGCCTGAAGCTATTGACCATAAAGTTGTAGTAATACCAACTATTATGACATTCTGTGTAGATTTAGATTATTTTTCGGTTTCCAATTCGCTTCCCGTCAGAAGTTTGTCGTTAAGATGAGTTTTTTTTCTTTCCTTCAAGAAAATCTTAGAAATAACATTTTTTGGTCATGCATTGAAAATGTTGAAAATGATATTTTTGGTTATGAAAAAGTGGCATTGGCAGGTCTGTGTTTGTATCTTTGTGTGGAGACTGGAACTGAAAGGCATAGCACAAAAGTTGGAGATTATTTATTTTATCATTAAAGTATAACTGTGCACCCTTGTTAAAGACTGCTGACTGGTAGGGAAGGCAAGAGGAGAGGGGAAGAAGTCTAACTTCTGTAGTTGATTGTTAGAAGTGGTCAGAGGATGATTATGGTGGTAAAAATGATTTGTAATGTTAGTTGATTGTTAGAAGTGGTCAGAGGATGATTATGGTGGTAAAAATGATTTGTAATGTTAGTTGATTGTTAGAAGTGGTCAGGGGATGATTATGGTGGTAAAAATGATTTGTAATGTGTACTCACGTATGAGTTGAATGATGTTAGGATATTATAATGGTATAATTGGTTATTCAGTGAATCCAGTACATTGAAAATCAAGTGTATTATCACATCTATGAGTTCTGTAAACATACAAATATATGTATATAATTATTATATTATAAATGTAAAACTTCCTAATCTTATAAATGTTATTGGTGTACACGAGTTCTACAACATACTCTGTGAATATCTAATAATACGAAGAGTAATTCTCCTAACCCCTGATTTCATCCAGTATATTTGATGTCTTTGTTTCATGGATTTCATTTTAGCGAGGGTGCACTGTAATTCAATAGTAATAATAGTTTCTAATCCAGAGCCAATCAAGTGTTGACTGTACAAGCACTGATTTGATGAGACAAGTGTTGTAGTAAAGTCCATTTACCCCCACTATGCCATACCCATACACTACGTATTGTGTATGCCTTATTGCCTTACTTATGTACAGAAATATTATGTTACATGTATATATAACATCTGCTCCACTTTAGTAAACTGCTACTAGTAAATAAAGATTTTACTGTGCATGATATATATATATATGAATGTGTTTCTCAGTTCTTTTTGAAGTTTCAAAGTAGTAGTAGAGCGGTGCAGGAAAATTGTGTTGTTACTCTAGATGAAACCGGCGTCTCTGTCTCGTTCTTTTCTTGTACTCAATAATATTGGTCCGTACATTCTTTGACTTTGCCCGTCAATGTGACTTCACAGTAAAATCCAGAAGGTAACGTTCCTCTGTCATTCAAGTGTAATTCCTTTTTTAGGAGACCTGAAATTTTTACGGTGCTTTTGAAAGAAGAAAAAAATTGTCTTAGCCTACCAGTCACCGCTCAACAAAAGGGGCCCACAATCTAGTATACGGTAGTATGAATGATTGATAATGATACATAGCACTAAAGGGCAGAACAGGCTTCTTCTCTCTGTTCCCTGAGGACTCGGTTCACTCTGTTCCCTGGAGGACTCGGTTCACTCTGTTCCCTGAGGACTCGGTTCACTCTGTTCCCTGGAAGACTCGGTTCACTCTGTTCCCCGAGGACTCGGTTCACTCTGTTCCCTGGAAGACTCGGTTCACTCTGTTCCCTGGAGGACCCGGTTGGTTAACTTGAACTAACAGGCCAGACAGAGTTGCTGGTGTATGTGGTATAGCAGTTAGGCGCTTCTCCATTGACTCTAAAGACCTTAGTTTGATTCCTAAGCCTAGTCCACATGTATTGCAAAAAATAGAATGGAAGTCTTGACTTGGCAGAGAATCAGAATAATGTCACACAGTCAGTGCTGGCTTTTGGCGGGCGGTTTGGAGCCGCCACTGGTAGGTCCTTCTTCTTTCCCTTTCCTCTGTTGTGTTTCTTTCAGTCTTGCTTCTTCTCTACACTATATGGCCACTGTTGTGTTCCTGTGCTTCTCTTTACTCTATCCAGAGAGTTGTCAACTCTTTAACTCAAACTCAAACTCAAGCTGTTTTTGTTGTGTAATGCAATACTGGGTTTTTGTCTCTTTTGACGAGCTCTGATTACTCTGAAGGAACCTGGAGTGTAAAGGGTACGACAGAAGAACCTTTGGTGATTTGTTTCATACAGAGATGGATGGCTGAAGCACATGAAATTGGCGTCTGGTGTAGTAGTAAATAGGTGCTTTGCTGTTACATTTGATTCCCGAGTGGGAAGATTTTGGGAATTTCTTTTTTTCGTTCAGTGTTTTACGGCGCTCGCAACTGCATAAAGTCATATGATGAGCGCGCGGGACACACAAAATATTTTCAGTTGGTAGGAAATTTTGAATTTTGCCCGGGTGACGGCTGAAGCCTACTCTTATCGATTTTAGACCACCGAGGGATCTTTAACGTGCGCAACTTGCACACGGGCGCTCCGAGATTTTTCGCCCTTGTCCGAGAAGGCTAGGTGTAGATCTTTCCTACCAGAAGATCAGGGGTGTGGCTGAAAGACAGCAGTAAGAAGAAGCGAAGGAGTAGCAGTAGAAAGGCTGCAGAAAGAATCAGGAGCCCAGAGGAAGGGGCAAAGGAGGTGAGGGGGTGGGGGCAGAAAGAGGAGACGAAAGCAGACGACAGAACATTGCTAGAGAGCAGGAAATGAGGTGAAAGGAGACAAATTTAGAGAAGAAAATTTTTCGGTCGCTACCCGGATTCGAACCCGGGACCTTTTGAATGAGAGGCCAACACCTTAACCTCTAGGCTACGAGAGCCCCGGGAATTTCTGTCTTTCAGCAGGGATGTCGTATCCTGCTCAGCTCGGGTTGGCCCTGACAGGCAGGATCAGAAGCCTGTCTACTGAGTGATCTAAATTGTGTCGAAGTGGTTGTAAAAACACCTACATAAAAAGAAGCGCTTGGGAAAAGCTGAAAGGTTTAGAATCTACAAACAAAACAGTCCAAGTCAAAGACTATCCAGTAGCATACAGACAGTTACAAAGTGCGTGGACAGTGCAAAAAGAGAAGGCCTATAATTGTGACTTGTGCTGACAAAATGAGTTACTTCTCGGATTCAGGCCCTAAGGGAATAGATGCATCACATATAGTATAGGTGAAGTTTTTACAATTTATAAGCATGAAATAAAAGGTATGTTATACATAAAGAATATGGCATCAATAGAAAATTTGCAAACTGACCCTAGTATCAATTTTGGCCAATATCTCCATTTATGGACTTCGAGAAGTAGCTCGTTTTGTCAGCACGCCTCACAATTGCTTCTGTTTTATCCAGCCTGGGTCAGGTAATCTAGGCTGCACTGATTTCAGTGATTGTATCCCTTTACAGGTAGGCTACTTGTGTATTAGTACTATTACTGATTGATGACGTAATCTCCTCAGACACCACAGGTCAGACCTTTGAAACAAGATAATCCAGCTCTATGTCTTGTGTCTTCACTTCTCAAGAGGATAGCAACTTATTTACATAGTTGAGGCTACTTTTTCTTCCTTTCTTCTTATAATCCTGGCTTTTTGGGGGGTTGGGGGGGGGGGGGGGGTTCTTACTTTAAACAAATCGACAACTCTCCTATAGGCAAAAGAACAAGTAGAACAGATGTATGTGGATGTTTATGGGGCAAATTACCTATATTCTTAAAATGTTTTGGTCAGCGCAGGAGTGATTTCCAACCGTTTGGGGATATATACATGTTTTTTTTGTTGTTGATCTAATTGGCCTTGTCAGAAAGTTCCAGGGTACATACAAGAATTTCAAATATTGTTCCAATTGTCAATTTCTTTTTCTTTTCTGTTCTTTGTTTTACTTCATTTCAAAACAGAATGGGGAAGAGCAAGGAGCTCACGCCTCACCATAGAGTTATCTCCTTGCCTATAGTGTACATCTATGCGCCTCACTTTTTACTCACTGATAACCTCCTTAGGGACAAGGGGAGTAATAACAACAGCTCTACTTGAAGAAAATCCCAGAGTGATTTCCCTTACATTAGGGAGGTCTCAAAACTCCAAACTCAATTTCCTGCTTTTCTGTGTTTTTGTAGATGTACAGAGAGGTCTGGCACTGTGTCACTGTCAGCGCTATTATAATTCTATTTTTTGTTTTTATTATATTGTCCTTAGTGTAGTTAAGTGTGTGCTTATGGCGAAAGGGGAACACGGAAAGAAAATGTAGGACATTTATGACCTTCGTGAATTCGTGGAACCGAGGAACCTCTCTCGTCCCTTGAACTTTACTAATCTACAAAATATTGTTCAATGAGTTGACAAGAGTGCCAGTGCCAGTGACTGAGTGAAAAGGCTGCACCTAAAACAATAGGAATCTACCAATGTGAATCCACCACAACCCCAAGCCCAAGAAGCTAAAATTCAAGATCAGGCGAGAGGCCTCTTGACTCAGCTTTAAAAGACAAGAGTAATTCTAAATTTTGTTGAAAGTAAGACAGTGACAGTGCTCAATAATGAGTCTTCGACTGTTGATGTTGAGATTCACTTTCTTGGGATGCTGGTTCAAATGACTGGATTCTACACTCTACAATAAATAGATCTAGATTCTAGATTCATAGCTCTAACTACCAAACTGAGTGGTAGCATTATAGGCCTATAATGTACATATCGGCGCAAGACTGACTTTCTCAATAATAGTGTTACAGTTAGTTATTAAAGCCTTCCTTCTCAATTAAAATTTTCTTTTGAGAACATTATTTGTCCTCAGTAACAATGCGGTTCAATTCAAAAGAAATTTCTGTGCTGTTGCAAAACACACACAGCTATGACAGAGAAGGCTATTTGCAGATGAAGGACAAACAAGAAGGTCTTTTCAAAAAGTCCGAAGGTTAGTATCTAGTCAATTTTCTCTTGAAGTTGAAGAGATGATCTGCATCTTAAGATTTTTGTGTGTGAATATATCATCTTCGTAGCCTTGTCTTTTGAAAAACTTTTTTATTGTCAAATACAGTGGTGCCCGCATTTAACTAAATTTACTGACAATCCGGATAAAAGAGCAATTCCTATAATATTAATTATATAATATATGTCACCTTTGTTTCCACCTTTAGCCTAGCCCACCCATTGATGTAACAATGTATAGCGAGCGCCGGAAAACCCTATACTACTACTACTAATGATGTAATAATTTTCAATATCACAATATCAGTCAACTGATGCCACCCCTCTTATGTCTTGTGCATGTAACAGAAATTCAGGGAACTTTTTTTGTCAGCTGGCTATACAATCAGGGTAGCTGGCCGTCAAATTTCACACCTTTGGTACTCGGAAAAGTTTCCGTGCTAGCTTGCTATTTGAGCAATTTGAAGACAAGCAGTGATACATTTTAGGCTGCTCCTATAATTTATGATGCTTTCTTTTTAAAAAAACAAAAAAAACTTTGTGTAGACTTAATTTAAAAGGTAAACAATTGTTTTTTTTCCAGCTTACATCAGTCGATACATAAGACTGAAGGGCAACTTGCTTTTTTACTTCAAGAACAAGGAAATTGTAAGTATACACGTCATAATATATATATATATATTATTTTATAAAAATATTATATTATTGCAGTTAATCATCTTCAGAACATTCGATTCAAATCAAATCCACATTTGTTGTGTATTTTAACCCTCTAAGTGTCCCTAACAGTAGTCCTTGGTTTCTGGAGAAATTACATTATTTCCCCATGTTATGTTGAACTGGATTATAATGCTTGAGAACAGGCAAACCAAGCATATTAAATTAAGGCCATAAACCTGTGCAGTTGTAAAGGAGTTGAAATTTTTGACGATATAAAAAAAAGGGGAAAAGCAAACTGAAAAAGCGACTGAAATTACTGCCAATTAAATTGGTAGTGACACCACAGAAAATTTATAACTTTTCTAATTTATAAGGCTCTGAACACTAGAAATGTTAACTTGAAGGGATTTAAATAAGAAGATAGTTGACCAATTTCTGACTTTCTGAGATTTTTTTAATGATCTGAGAAAAGAGAAGACCGACTGCTTGATAGTACAGTATTGTAATAGCACCCACACAAAAGAGACTAATTAGTATTTGATCTTGATGAATTTGTCATCACTGACCTGGTGTTTGTGGATGTGGTGGGTGCTCTGGTGCAGTTTGCTCCTTCTTTCAAATATCTATACATTCCCTTCTTAGATTCTTTTTATGTCCCTCTTGTCACATAGACCCTCTAATCTTCAGCGTTTGTTGTGACCTTTATATTCTTATTGTGTTACGAGTGCCTTAAAACACTAAAGCTAAAACTATCTTTGTTTTTAATTCGCAGCTAAAGGGATTTGAAAACAACAACAACAACATCTTTGTTTTTTGCACTAAAAATGTGTGTGTACTTTTTTCCCAACAACTTACAGAAAAATAATAAATATATTTTTTATATTGTGGGTCCTTGTCTGTTTCCTCAGAAATCTGAACCAATTGGAGTTATTATTTTAGAGAGATGTGTGGTAGAGCTTGATCTACAAGAAGAGGTTGATAATGGCTTCCTGTTAGGTGAGTAAGGTGAAGGAAATTAAGAAGGGATGAAGTTTGTACCATTATAGTTTGTCTATACCTGCTGATTTTGTTCATGACGCGATATAGAGCTCAGTTTGGTTTGTGCACCCTTCAAAGAATTAATGTAAAATATTGACTGAGAATTGTCTGTGGTGGTAAAAATTACTGACAGCAAAAGCTGATGGTTGATTAAGGAAAAGAAAAGTTCTTCTTAAACTTGTGGTCTTGTATCGAAGTTTTCAATAAATAATTTCTGTGGAGAATTGTATTGGTCACAGAAATATGTTTATAGTGTCCCTTTTATTTCAGACATAGTAATCTTTACTTGAGTTGTATTTAATTTTGAAATATTCAAGAAAAGTTTTGCTCTGCATTTGAGGATTTAGGATGTTTTGCATGCACCTCAAATTACAGTGTAAATAAGATTGCTCAAAGAGAAAGTAAAAACAAGTTAATATTTTATGCCACTGAGCGACTGAATACTTGAGCAGTTTCTACAGAATGTAAAGGCGGATAGCAGTGGGGAGTAAGAGAATTAAGGGCTCTTTGTTTATTTTGAAACTGCAAATTTTATCAGTTTTGTTGGTGAGAATGTAATGTAGTCCAAACACTATTCATCAGACCAGAAAATAGGCATTTTTATTCTATTCACTAATCACTTCTCTTCTCTGCAGGTGATTGGAGAGTGGCACTAGTAGTAGGTTCAACTATTAAACGTATAATCTGAAAGTCCTTTTTCGTTTTTCCCACATTGAAGCCTTTTCTTGTGTCAATACACTTCCCTTTACAAAGAATAACTCTACTTGAAGAAAATCCGAGAGTGATTTCCCTTACATTAGGGAGGTCTCTAAACTCCAAACTCAATTTCCTAATAGAGGCTAGCCCAGGATAGGGAAAGGTGGAAGGTGTTTGTTCGTGGCCTATACCCTGACCCAGGGTGAGAAAGCCAGTGAGACAATGACACTTCTCTTTGACTCAACAAACTGGGTTTTTTTTCAAATTTCAGTCTTCGAGGGAGAGGACCAGCCGATTCGCTTCGGCGCCAGCAGCGAGACCCTGAGGGACAACTGGATCCAGGCTCTGCACGTGGCCAGCCACGAGTGTCTCAAGATGCAGCTACAGAGTCTGAGAGAGCAGGTCCAAGCCCGCACTGGGCGTGACCCCGTCGTGCTTCCTGCCGAGCCAAATTCCACCGTTGATTTTGAATCCCATTCAGGTACTTTAGTTTTAAAGTGAGAGTTTTACGGCACTTGCAACTCACAATAAGGTCATATACGTGCCGAAGATTAGAGGTGTTACAAAGACCACTAGTGAGTAGCGAACACAAAAATGGAGGAGAGGTAAGGACGATAGATTTTTGATAGGATAGAAGGGTCAAATCACACCAGAGTACCCGCCAACCACCCGCCATTCAGGAGCACTGTTCAAACCAAGAAAACAAAAGATTACTTCATGGATCCTGCAGGGAGACTTTTTTCCTTACATGTAACGTGCACGATACAAGGACTAAAGTTTAACCATGATAAGGAGTCTTATGTTTCAGCATGCTGTAGCTGGTTGCCATGGTGGTAGGCCTACATTGGTTTTTTTTAGCTGGGGGTGAAGTGCCTTGTTGCAATTGTCATTCATTCATGTAAACATTTTCCCACACTTCACTGCTTAAAACTTTGTGAATTTTTTTTTTTACTTAACTTTTCACAACTACTATTAGGCTTTCTAAATCTCTTTTTATGTTGATTGTTGTTCAGTGTATCTGCGTACTGTTTCTTAAACTTATTTTTTTTACTTCGAAGTCAAAAGTCTTTATTTTTATAACTGCAAACTTCGTGAGTTTTGTTATTAAGAATGTTACATAGTCCAAGAAATATTCAGGTATTTAAGTTGTATTAAGTTCAGATATTTCTTTCTGTGTGTGAATAAAGGTTATATATTGCATGTTGTAGATGCAGAAATTTTAGTAATTTGATTGATTATGGTGACTGGTATAGACAATATGCCATGAATGGTGGTTGCTGAAATAATGTACTGATCATTGATTAAGATTTCTTTTGTGAGGTAAGAGGCATACTTGTACATTATTCTTAAAGACTCTCAATTCTAGAAGACCTTTCACTGCATATAAAGATTTGTTAATTACTAATACCTCTCTTCTAAATTTATAGCTTTGCGAGGGGGAGGGGGGGGATAGAGGTAGAAATTGTTCTCTTTTTGTCTTACTCTAGTTAAAGACTTTTTTTTGTCCCCGCTCTGTGTAGAAGTATGTGACTTGTATATTTGAACGTAATTTATTTTTCCTGACACAGATAATGCAAGCGAGGACCCTGTTCTGGAAATCTCATTAGGTACCGATTGAATTGTACTTCTTTTACTTAATAGATTACTACATTGCAATCTTCTCCGCCTCTTTCTTCTCCTTCTCTCAGTCTCTTCCTTCATTCTTTTGCAAGATCCCAGCTGTAAGTGGGAATTTTTACCCGATACTTTGGCATGAAGTCAAGCACTTCAGCTTTTGGTGAACGAGCCCCTGTTTTAGTCAGCAGTTCTTCTGTCTCAGAGCTTATACTTGTATGGGATAGAGGGCTATATAAATGCAACCTATTATTATTATTGTTATTATTATTATTATTGTTATTATTAAAACTGGGCACATATAAGCAGAGTTGGAAAACGGCAGGTTTTAGTGTTCTTTTACTCTTTCTCTATCTGTCTTCATTTTTATGTTTTACTTTCTCCATTATTAAAACATTTTTTTTTGGCCGTCTCCACTGGACTTAACCATTTCAGTACAAAATGAAACTTGTGGTGATGAAGTAGATTTGCAGCTATGCATTCAGTGATGACCATTACCAACACTCATGATGAACTGCCCTCCGCTGCAACATTGCTGTGGTTAGAAAGACAAGCTTGTTGTTTAGCTCTCTTTGCCTCAAGTGAATGAATCAAACATCTTCAATTCAGCTGATTTTAAAAAATCTTCTTCTCGCAGCTTGCTCCAATCTCTCAAACGACAGCACAGATGTCGCGCCCAACGTCCTGGTGGTTGTCCACACGATTCTCCCACCGCAGCAACAGATCTGGCTACACCACAACCACACGGAGATTGTGGAGGTTTGTAGAGTGGACAGCCTCTATTTCTAGTATCTATTTGTGGTGGCTGAATTTTGCTATTCAAAAGGCTTGTTAAAGGCTGCATCGATCGACATGCCGTTTTCGCCAATAGATTCTTTAAAATATTCTCCAGGTCATGACGCCCTTGTTTTTTTTCAGTTTTGAGACAGTTTTGCTGCAAAAAGCTAAATTTGTTTATTTCGCCGATCGCTTTTGTATGCCAACGCTTCTGTAATTTTATAAAACGCGGAAGTGATATTTCGCGAGGCACATTTTGTTTTGAGAGTATAGATCTAGACCTTCTAATTTCTTGCATCTCTCAAGATAATAATGTATTGCCCCATTCCAGTAGAGTGTTAATAAAGTAGGCCAATGACTTTTAGTTGATATTAAAGCACCGATCATTCTTTTCATTGAAAGGGGGCCCAGCTAGTTATATTATATTTGTGAAAAGCTAGTCACTTTGGTCACCTAAAACTTCCGAACCTTTTAACTTTTGAATCTGAAAAAATTAATGGTGGTTCGGAATCATTTAAAGGATGCACAGTTATATTAAGGAGTCTGAAGTCACTGTAGTTTAATTTTCAATTTTTCATTAGTTTCGTTTTGATCTGATTTTGGGAAAGTCGGTCTGCTAAGACGCCATTGTACACAAGTGAGATTTCTATTCACAAGCAGTGAGCACTGAATCTACAATGACTTGACAATCGATTCTTTTGAGTCCGTTCATCGAATGGGGTACCCAGTTAGTTTCAATATGTGGGTGGTTGGTGGGTTCAGTATGAAGAAAAAGTTAACTGAAATATTATTGGAAAGCTTTATTTTTGTAATTTAAAAAGTGGAATGGATTCTTTTTTTTATTTGCAATAGAACTTTTGCCTACTTTTTAGTTGGATAAAAAGTCCAATAATGTGTTGAAAGTTGTGTTTTTTCTTTTTTTTTTTATGTGCCTTTGTGTCGTAACGACTATTGGTAATTTCTTCTCATCAAGATGCTTTCCTTTCAGTGCAGAAGAGCTCACTTTTTGTTTGCAATATTGGTTCACTGAGGGGGGTGGGGGTAGGGGGTTGTTTTGTTTTTTCTCATTTTTAATTATGTTTTTTGTTTATTTGTCCTTGATCTAGAAAAGCACCAGTCCGCAGTTCCTGAAGACAATAGGGTTTGGAGACAAGTACGGCATCGACACCAGCACCAGGGTCAGACTGACCGTCCATCACGTGGTGGAGAGAATGACCGGGACGGTGAGAGTCTGTCGCCACATTCTCATGTCGGTGTCCCTGAAGTGGATGGTTGGCGGGTGCTCCGGTGTGGCTGGCTCCTTCGTTCCTATCAAGCATCTATCATCCTTATCTCTCCTCCTTCTTTTTTTTTGTGTGTTTGCTACTCCCTTTTAACTCCTCAAATCTCCGGCACCTATATCACGTTATTGTGTTGCAAGTGCTGTAAAACTCTGACTAAAACATGAAACAGAGTTACAGTGCTAATGAGTCAACAACAGTTTTTTGCTGGACTCTAATAATAATAATAATAATTGCATTTATATAGCGCATATCCACGCTCAAGAGCATGCTCTATGCGCTTTACAACTATTATTACCCCAGCAGACCCTCTGAGAACACTCAGAAACATACTCAGCTTCCGCGGAAGCTTACAGTGCAAGCTGCGGATTTTACGCGCTCAAACACTATCAAACTGACAAGATCTTTCACTGTCTATAGCCGGGTACCCATTTCCACCTGGGTGAAGTGAGGAAAATTTGTGCAAAATGCCCTTCCCAAGGACACAACGTCGGGTCCCTGATGGGATTCGAACCCACGACCTTACGGTTGCGAGTCCGAGAGCCTAACCACTAGGCCACCGACGCCACACAATAGTGGGCAGTACTGCTTACAACGAGGCAAGGGTAGGCCCAGAGCAACCAACTTAGGATATGTAACGGGGAAAGATCAAGGAAACGTAGCTTTTTTTAAGAGCATCCAAGCAAAAGAATGAATGGAGAACCATGATCACTGACGTCTGCCACAGATCTGGCACTGGATGATGATGATGACTGCTTACAATTTTCTGTTCTTGTTGTATTTTTTTTACTGAAACAATATTGCTTAACAATGTTGTTGCTTTCATGATAACGACTTTTTAACTTTTCTTTTTTCTTAATTATTCAGATGACTCAGCTTGGTCAAGCCATTTTCACGTTGCAGGATGTTCTACGCACAAATGATCTCTTGCTTTCGCTGGTGCTGAGGTTGGTAAATAATTTTTTTATTCTGAGCATTTCGTGGCATTTACCTTTTCAAGATTATTGTCTAAAGTTTATTGGAGCACAGCATTTTGTGAGTTCATAGTATAATGGACTGTGCTAGAAGCGACTGTTGTTTTTGTTAGGTATTGTGAATTCTGGAGTATGAGTTGTTTGAAGAGTTGTCGTCGCTTTTCACCCTCATGAACGATTCTTTTTTTTGGAAATATATGTGTGTGAGGCAGCGTGGTGGAATCAGGCTCTCGTCAATTTTGAGGCATGTAGAGTTATTGGTATCATCTTAAAACTTGTTCACTTGTCTTTATTTGTATGAATAAAATATCCATTTATCTTAAATACAAGTCGAAATATTTGAGAAAGAAGGAGGTGGGGGTAACCTGTTTTCAGAGGTAAAATTAGTGAGAAAATTGCCGCCAAAGATTAGTTATTTCCATAGCTTAAGAGTCCGTGGTAACTGAACATTTACATCTTTTGTGCCTTTAATCAACGTTTATCAGTAAAATCCACACAGAAATGAGTTCTTTAATGGGCATGAAAGGTGTTCAGCCAAAAAACAAAAATTTGATAAAAATTCACAGACCTGCGGAAAAATGCAAGTTTCTTCACTTTGATTTCTTTGACGAGAGCCTGATTCCACCACGCTGCCTCACATATTCTGTAGGAGGTCACACTTCAACACACTTTTGCTGTGTGGCAGGGTTATATACCTAATAGGAGTAAAGGCCGAATGAGACTCGCACATTTGATTGAAATAAGTGATGTAGCTCATATGTAAAAGTCTCGTTATTCAAATCAAAATGTCCGTCTAGTTGTCTAAACATTTTACATCTCTCTGACTGTCATTATTTGTAATGTTTTTTTCTCTACTTCCATGTCTAAAGCACAGTCTTGACTTGTGTTAATTATCATTTTGTTTGTCTCTGACATTAAAGTTTTTTCTAGTACGATTCCTGGCTTTGACATTCCATTCCGTAGACTTGTTTCTAGTTACTTCCCTTGTCTGTTACCTTACATTTTTTTTATACTGCGATGCCTGGCTTTCCCTTACCGTTCTGTGCACTCTCTTTTGACCAAAGTCTGTTTTTGACCTCATCATTATCTTTTTTACAGTGGTGGTGGGGTTAATTTAAGAGTTCGCCAATCATGTAATGAAATTGGACCTTTTCATTCCTTCACAAGAACTCCAGACCAGAAAGAAGCGGGAGAAATTGTGATAACAGCCTGGATCAACGACGACCGAGTGTCTCTGTCAGAGCTGCAGACACAGCAGGTACGTGGTGGAGCTGAGAGCTCATGGGGAATAATCTTCGTCTTTTGTCCTTTCTTATGAAGACATACGTGTAGTATGACTGTAAAATGATACTCTTGATATGCCCGTTCATTCAATTTTTTTTTTTACAGTGAGTGCTTATCGGGTACCAATGGTTAGTCCAACTTCTGTCCTGTCACTCTGTTCTTTCTGTCGGTCTCCCTTCATTTCCCTCCTGCTCTTTATGACTTTCATCATGTCGTTGTACTTCTATTCAAATAGAAAATCAGTTTTTTAAAATCTCATCTTGCTTCTCAGTTTTAACCTTTCAGGAGTGAGCGCAAATGTATATTTTTGTAGATATCACAGTTTCAGACCGAAGGGCTAGAACCCAAATGGCCGTTGGATCGGAAAAGTAAAGTAAAGTAAAGTAAAGTAGATATCACAGCATACTCTGCCTATTAAATAACGATGTGGTAGTTTGTTTTTCTGAATTAAAGTGGTTGTGCATTATGTTTATTTGCTAGGCTATGTGCTGTCCATTCTGCTGTTTACACTTGATGTTTTTTTAGGATATACTCATCACTAGTATACACTTGATGTTTTTTTAGGATATACTCATCACTAGTGTTGTTTGTCTTGTTAGATGTGTATTATTCTCAGAGCAGACCTTTTTTTTTGCTTCAGTTCAGCTCTGTAGTTCAAATAAGATTAGCATCCCGATAGTTTTCGTGCTTGTCTTGAAGACAACAATTGGTTCAACAAGAATGACACACGTCAACGTTGGTCTATCTCTTGTGCTATGTTTTCTGTCTTTTTTATTTTTATTTATTTTTAAAAAAATTTTATTTCAAGATAAAAAGAAATCCTTTAGACTTACTTTGGTAATATTCTAAGTTGTGAATGCATGAGAATTGCAGAAAATTTCGATAATTGCTGTCTTTGAACTGTTTTTTTTCAATGTAGTAATCAGTGCTGTATTGCTTTCCTCAATCATGTACATAAATATGTTACCAGGATGATTAAGTTTCAGAGCTATAGTGCAAAAATGTAAATTTGTAAAGAATATGAATTTTTTTAAAATATGAATTTCATGTGGACAGGATGATAGTTGTGTCTTTGAGGTGAGTTTTTGGTTTTGTTTTTTGTTTTAAATTCTCAAATTTTTTAGAATCACCCAAATTTTGTGGTAGGATGTAGCCAAAGCAGGCAGAATGATCGCATTTAACGTATGATGACTTGGTGCTCGTTTTTCCTGTCACTCTCTCCCAACATGTCCTCCTGTACTTGCCTGCCTCGCACTCCTTCCTTTTAGCTCATGTCAGAGCTGTCTACACAAGATAAGAACTTTCGTTGCTCATATTCGTGGTGGTTTCTCATGTTACAGGTTTATTTAAAAAGTACTAATGAGGAAAAGAAGGTACATCATCTACCCAGCCAACTAACAACCTCAGCTCTTTTTATGGGGAGAGTACTATTGTGTATTGATTTTTTTTTTTTTCCTTTTCAAATCTGTAGCTTATTTTTCATTCTGTATTCCAGCTTGTTAACTGGTGTCAGCTTTACGATCCGTGATATGTCACAATTTTTGTGCTTTCTGCGGTAGTAGTGTGCGTTTGTTATGTAAGCTTTTGAGATTTTTCCTGTGCTTTTCACAGTTTGCTTTTCCTGATTGTTTTCATTTGTAGTTAGGGCATGGTCCTGGAAAAGTTTGAGATGAAATTGCAGTCCGTTTTATAATATTTCCAAACAAGTTTATTCCTAGAGATAGTCCTTTTGATTTATTTTCCTTATAAAGTAGTTTTATGGGGGGGTTTCGATAGTTGGTTGCACTACTTAAAGTGAATGAAAAACGTTCTCGCACAGTTAAATCTCTACTTTCTTTTTTTATTTTTAAACAATCCAATTCCTGATCTGATAGTGCTAGGTCAACGGTTAAGTTATTCTTTCCTTTTGTTTCCTACAATTCATAGTCACTGGGGAGAGGATATGTTACTCACAAGATTTTTGTATGGTTTTAGGACATGCACAGAATTGAGCGCTCACTCGAGGCACAAAAGAGTGTGGAAACTATGATTTGATGGATTGTGTAGTTTCTATATTTCTGTGAAACTTTTTCTACGAGCGTGTTCTTGGTCAGGAATTGAGAGGGTAAAGGTAAAGACTAAATAGAGAAAAGTAAATTTTCCATTTTTCTCATGCCTCAAGGAAGTATGTATTTGAGACTTGTAAAATTTGATATTGTTTTAGAAAAGCAGTGCGTGCTAAGTGCCCGTTTGATTCTGATACGGCTGTGTTCATTGTCTGTCTTGCCACTATTTTAAGTGACTCTGTAACCATGAACCTGAGGGAGGTGAACGTGACCGTCCTATGAGTTGTGCCTTTGAATGGTTTTGTAGTGGAGTAGTGAAAGTTATTACTTGAGTGTTCAGTTCCAATACAGGATGAACGAAATTGATGTTTAGCTAACAAACAAATTTAGTACTAGAAATTAAAGCGACAAATAAAAAGAATGAAAATAAAAGCACGAGGTCCTCCCTCACCAACCCAAAGATTTTAGAATTATACACCATCTCATTCACTATGCCCTTGACTATCTTCAGCATGTGATAGCTTAATTGTGCACGTCCACTTTTTAGCCCCACAAGCCGCCCCTGATGTCCATTGTGTGTGTTTGTGTGTGTGTGTGTGTGTGAGAAAGAGAGAGAGAGAGAGAGAGAAAGAGAAACGGTGAGAGTTGACGAGTGCTTGAACATATTTACCGCGGGGCAGCAAATTTTCACTGTGTGGAGCTCAATAAATTGTTATCTTAAACTCTTGTAAAAACTTTTTACCAACTTGTAGAGGACTGACAACTTTTACACGCTTTCTCATTGTTTGCCCTCTGCCAGCAACAATCAGTATTGTCTATGAATGGAATCCATTTCTTGTTTTCCTTTTCATGCAGAATGTTTTGTATCAGTCTTTGGCTGCTCAGTTCTGGCCGATCTTTTCTCTCCTTTTCTAGGCATGCTCACCACAGTTGGAATTTTATTTCAGATCCTCTGCCTTGCTGCACACATTTCGTACAAAGTGGTGTATCAGAACTTTCACAAGCTCTTTTAACACATTACAGTCACGCAATCAGCAGTGCAAAATTCCCCGTCTGGCCACCCAGCCAGGAGAGCGACTGCAACAGACTTCTCATGCATTATTTCCTTTGGCACATTATTGCGCCAAGTGACTGCAAAGTGTTAAAGAATGTCTCAAATTGCAGCCTGCTGCATGCAGTCAGATATGTGTGACGACCTCTTTGGGTTTGGTCCATAGTACATCTGGTCCGGGCTGGGTATGGTCTTGCAGCATCGGTTCACGGTTCCGGTCTCTGTGCATGCATTCAAATAGTGCGTGTCTGTCGTAAGTCATCAGAACTGACACCACATCTCAGGCACGAGTCATCGGGGAATATCTCAAATTGTGACTCTTAGATTGCGGCACCTACAAATCTTCTTTTTTCACTGATTCAAAAACATCAGTGCTCGGTCTTTTCCACAATTTCTGTTTCCTGTGAGCAATGACTTTTTACGAGCACTGCTTGACCTAATTAAGTAGTAGCACAATGCAGTTGTGGTAAAGTTTGTTCCTTCTTGTCATGAACATTTCTCAGTGTCAATAATATACCTTTTTTGATACCGCCTTGTACGTATATTATTATCTCTGCTTTAGCTCTGTAGCACATTTTTGTTTCTTCCAACTGTGTCATATATTTTATTTTCCTATGTTTTTTTTCTCATGGCTGTTTGTTGTATTACTCTTCTTGAGAAGATGTTCTGTCACATTTATTGCTTTAGTTGTTTAAAAATGTAAGTGGGAAGGTAGTTTCCTGAAAGATACCAAGTGAGGTGAAGACCTCTTCTATTTTCTGTTGTAAAGTAGTGGGTGGTTGGCGGGTGCTCTGGTGTGGTTTGCTTCTTCTTTCCTATCAAACATATATCGTCTTTATCTCCCCTCCTTCTTTTTTTATGTTTGTTACTCTCTTGTAACACCTCTAATCTTCGGCACTTATATGACCTTATTGTGTTGCAAGTGCCGTAAAACTCTTACTAAAACTAAAAAACTGTTGTAAAGTTGCCCTGTGGCTGCCTCTTTCTATAACCTAATGTGTTGAAAGGGGGTGTTGAATCTATGCCATGTCATAAATCCTGATTGTAAGTGGTTGGAAGTGCCACTGGTAGGTCCTACTTATCTCTTTCTTTGTCATTTTTGTCTACTGGTCTCGCTCTTTATTTTAACGCTACATGGACGTTATTATTGTGTTTATGTGCTTCTTTTTACTCAAACTAACTAGAGGGTAGTTGGAGGGTGCCCCTGGTAGGTCCTAGTTCTTTACTTTCCCCCTGTTGTTTCTGTCTGTCTGTCTTGCTTTTTCCCCGCTCAACAACAAGCTCTATGCGCTTTATACTATATTATTACCCCAGCAGACCACAGAACACTAATAAATACTCTCAGCTTCCGGGGAAGCATACAGTGCAAGCAGCTGATTAAACGCTCTAACACTAACAAACTGTAAAGGAGCTCAGCATTTTTCCTTGAAGGCCTCTTTAGTGGAACCCCCTCAGGCGGTGCCACTGACTGAAGTGTCTTTAGGCCATTCCCAAAGGGGGGACATTTCTCGTTCATGCACAGTAGAATTGTAAATGGGCTGATTCATCAATTCAATGTCATGCTCATAACTGTGCCTGAACTACAACAGGGAACTGCTGCTTTTTCTTTCCTACTCCTTACTATTGTCATTTTTCCTCTACTTCTTTTGTATGTTTGTTACTCTCTTGTGACCTGCTATTTCCGGGGTGCCTTGATAGTCGAAGCAGACTTTGTGCTGTTGAAGCTAGAGAGGTGCGCAGAGTAAGTCTGATTCCCTGTAAGGACTTCTCTGTTGACATCCACCCCGTTGGCGCATACGACCTTTTGCAGTTGCGAGCGCCGTAAAACCTCTACTAAAACAAACAACTCTTCAGTGGCTTCCATCTACCTGTTGTAGCTTGCTCCTCCTCCGTGTCATTCTTTTCCTTGTTTGCATTCTTCTTTTTTCTTCCTCCTTCCTCTTCCTTCTTGGCGCTTTCTTGACCTTCAAGTATCAATAGTACAGTTGTACTCCTGTTGAGAGACTAATTAATGGTGGGTGGTTGGTGGGTGCTCTGGTGTGGTTTGCTCCTTCTTTCCTATCAGACATCTATTGTCCTTATCTCTCTCCTCCTTCTTTTTTGTGTATGTAACTCTCTTGTAACACATCTATTCTTTGACACTTATTATACGACTTACTGTGATGCAAGTGCCAAAAACTCTTACGGAAACTTTAACTAAGAGATTTATTACATTTTGCGGGTCTGATTCTGAACTTTATATATGTACCTGTAATGAGGGAAAATTAAAAGTGTCCAGTTTTCTTTTCTCTATTTAGTGTTAAAGCTTGGTGGATATATAATATATGTTGTTTGATTTTAAGTCTGTTTACGATGTGTTTTGCTTTTATCATCGACCCAATTTTTTGGTCAGGTTTTTAGAGGATGTTGTAGCAAGGTCTTTATTCTTTGATGTCTGTTATTTCTGTTTGTCTTGCTCATATTTACATTTGGTGGTTGGGGGG